CCTGGCAAGACCTCATGTCGAAATCACACTATACCCGATCACAGATAATCATCCTTGTGACGCGTGCAACAGGTCTAAGCATCCTGCCTCGTTCGATATGAAGCTATACGGAAAGGCTTATTCCTTGGAGACACTCGAACCGTTGTCAGATGACGATAGCGACGAGGACGATGAGGAAGACGGTCCTGAAAGGGACAGAGACGGTTACAGCTTACCAGATGAGGACACGCGGTTCTATCTTGGCCGGTTTGTTCCCCTTCGTGCCTTTAGCATTCACATTTCCATGTTGACTCTTTGATAGCCATTGCAAAAATAAAGCTTCGCTAGCCCACACTCTCACCCACTGGCGATTTCACCTCAATGAATGGGTTGTCGACTACCTCGAACGCATGGGTTACTTAGAGGACGACAAGGTCCTTGAGCGCAGCCATTGGAGTCATAAACAAAGGGCCAGGTATGCTTCAGAGGTGATGGGTTCAATGGTCGACAGTGGTGAGGTAAAGAAGCTCTGGCGTGACTTCCATATTACTTTGAAATCAGCGAGAGAGACAACCGTATGTTTGAATCTTCTCTACAATTACGCAGTACATACTAATCTGCGTCCAGACACTCTCGTGAGGCACACCCATCGATCATACAGCCTTACGGCTTCTCCTTGCTATGTCTTCATTTTCACATACTTATCAGCACAGCCGTCGACAAACTCGACGAGACAATCCTACATCAGCTGCCATCTTTGACTCTTGAGATCCCTGCGTCGACCTTACCTTTGCTTTCACGATGATACCCCCTACTCGCAAATCTGATTCAATAACCAACAGTTGCTTAAATATGTACTTAGGCGAAATCAAAATTCATGACTCATGAACTAGGTTCATCCACGCTCCATTATCTAGCAACGTACATCAACGAAGAGAAAGAGACATACAAGAAATGAACATGAAAAAATTGTTATACAAGTACATATAGACCCCGAAGGTGTCAGGGGAAACCGCAGACGGGGTAAACCAAAGGCTTCGAATACAACAGGCGAAGGAAATAAGGACTTAAACCGTGACGGAAACGACGCAAAATTTTTTCTGTGATCGCGCCAGCCCAGTATGCAAACCAACAGAGGAAAGGAATATGTGAAGAGAAAACCAGCTCCAACACCTCCCCGAAATCATGGTTTCGTTTTGCACTGCGCCCAAATTTAGTATCGAGAGGTTCTCTGTTGCTTCGCTCGGTGAGTGGAATCAATTCGTGTACTGGCCGGGGTTGATTGCGAACTCGGCCCCGCAGACCGATAATCATAAATCAAAGCGAAGGACCAAACAACAGACGTCTCAGCTGCATCATCGCAATTGTGGAGTCCAATACACCTGTTGTATTTTCACCCTCGGTTTTTGAGGTGTTCATTTATAGAGTAGGTTGGGCCTGATTGTTCTCAGCCGGGAGGGCGCCGGGTGTGAGCATCTGTAGAAGAACCATTGTCAGCATGCTTCAATCACACACTCAAACAGCCCGTAGGCATGCAAACGCAAAGAAACAACTCAGAATCGCGTGTGTGCCTCGGTTTCTTGGCAGAACAAGTCACCAAGTAAGAGTTTTCACACCGCTACCGGTGCTCAAATAACCGGACAGATTCGAAAGAATCGAGTTGCCACAATTTGGTGGACTGGCTTAAAAGGAAAACGCCCGTCAACATACCTCATTAGCACCCTTGATCATTCCCTGCTCACGCTCCATCTGGACGTACTGCTCCTCTTCGGCGTAGGCAAGCGCCCACGGAACGCCAAGGAGGAAAGCACTAGTGCTGAGAATCCAGAGCGCATTTCCGCTGAAGGAGATGCTGGACTTTGTGAACGAGGTGAGTGTGGAAACAGTGGAGGAGATCTGGCGCCGGGCCGACGGGGGGACGATATCTTTCAGAGCGGCCACACGCTCGTACAGGGTCTCGCTTTCGACATCGAGGTCGGATTCAACAGAGATTTCGGATTCTAATATTTGGATTGAATAGTTAGATATGTTGTTGCGCGGTCTTCTCAGTGTGAAAATGCATTTTGGCTATGATTCCGGCTGAAGAATCATCCTCCGGCAATGGAGCGGGACGACCCTGGATGACGGAGCGAGATGGATGTGGGAAGCGCGTATGGATATTGAACAGAAGCTCATAAAGAAAGAGCGACCGGTGTCAGTAGAGGTTGCTCACCCGTGTCAGTGTAGTCTTCGTCCTCATCGTCCGTGGCAAGAAGAACATTGTTCTTGGTGGCCATGGGCTTCTCTTGAGCAAAGTGCTCGTCCTCGACCTCGGTGAGCTTGACCATTATGACGGTAATAAACGAACTCGGGAGAAAGGGTGCTAGAAAGAAGTGGTCAAATGACTTTGTGACGGCTAGGAAATATGATGCTAAAAGTGACGGAGATTGTTGGAGGACTGCGGACTTGAAGTGGTCCGCTACAACTTTTTTCCCGAACCAAACGGCCCTAAAGCGGCAAGCAGCTCCAACGTGATTTGTGCTTGAGCCGATGGTTCAATGGAGTGCCTATATGGACAATACTGATCAATCGTAAACTTACTTCCTCGGCAGGATTAGATACTGTACAAGTCGATTATTGATGCCATGCCTAGATACATATGGCACACCAAATCTCATACAAAAATGCGGAGTGAAGAAAGTAAAAGCCGTCATCCACCCTCTATATAGTACACACAGACCATGTTCGGGATCAGTGGGAATCCATGAGCTGCGCTATGCAGGATCATATGAATCTATCTTCTTCCGAGCTTCCATCGTGCAATCCGTTCTTGAATTTCCTCCCATGGGAAAGGACGAAGTTTGTACCCTTCCAGCTCACCCTCCTGCAAGACCACCGTCGGGATACCGGTGCCCTGGCCCTTGTTCTGAACATGGCCTCCAAATACATGGCGAGCCACGCGACGGAGGTCATCCACGGTCAGAGCCTCGATGCGGTCGCACATCTCCTTGACGCCAACCTTATGGCCGTGAACTTGGACTTGGCGGCCAAGGTCCTCCAATTCCACCATGCGGGACTCCAAGTTCATCAGCAGTGAGGAGCGGAGTTGGTTCTTCGCACGGTTGACCTCCTGTGGCTGCAAGGCGCTGTAGCCCGTGTCGAGAGTCAGTGCCTGCAGTTCGCGGCACATGACTTCAAGCATCTCGGTCGTACGGGTGGGACTGCACGAGGCGGAGACACCGAAGATACCGCTGTCTGTGTAGCTGTGGTTGAAAGCGATGCAGCTTTCAACCCATCCGTGCTGGTTCAAGACATTCGTATAGAGACGAGAATACATACCCTTACCGGGACCGCCGGCAGAGAAAGATCCGCCGCCTCCGAGTAAAGTCTGAAGGGTGGCGAGGGCGTAGATGTCAGGGCTTGAGATCGGGAGAGCTTCAAAGGCGAGATGTATGTAGCTCAGCCTAGGAAGCATGGGGTTGGCTGGTGGCGGGATCGGGGGAAGCGAGAGGAATCCACCAGTGTAGTGAGAAGGTCTTGTCAAGTCCAACGATGATGGCTGCACCAACGAAGGATCAAGGGGTGTCACAGATGCAGGCTTTGACGCGGTGGTAGAGAGGTTCTTCAGGAAAGGGAGCCTGGAAAGGACAGACTGGGTTTTTGAGGTTGGGGTTGTGGTGGTTGTTGACGATGGCGTGAATTGAGGGACGGTCGGCACCTGTCCCTGCTGAGCGGCTGTCTCTGAATCCGACAGAGTTGTGTCGATCCCAGTCCCGGATAATACGGGCCCTTTGCTCGGATTTCCGGCCTTCATATCGCCAAAGTATTGCTCCGTTAGCTTAACAGCCTCCTCGTGCGGCACACCGGCAAAGGCAACAACCATCCTATCCGGCTTAAAAAAGATCTCCCTGTATCTCTCGACGACCGCCTTATTAATCTCTTCCAACCTCTCACGAGGACAGAGTAGCGGGTTCCCTAATGTGTTATCCTTGTAGGCCGCCATATGCACCAGCTCCGGGAGGATAAGCTCAGGCTTGGCCCAAATCTCATTAATCTCGTACTCTGCCGTCGCCAACTGCTGCAGGACTTCCTCGTCGGTGATCAGAGGGTCGCGGATCGTCTCCGCCAGAAGACCCAAGGTCGCGGGGACAGCCGAGTTGAAGCTGGCCGACTGGTACATCAATGACTCGCGAGACGAAGCGCACTGAATGTTCCCTCCCAGACTCTCAAGCGTCTCCAGCATCTCATCGCTTGTTCGAGACTTGGTTGATTTAAAGGCTAGCCGGTCCATAATGTGGCTCACGCCTCGTAGGCTCTCGTCTTCGTACCGGGATCCCGCATCGACGTAGACACCAACGCCGGCAAAGGGTCCGGGTAAGGATTCTGTAGCGACGCGGATTCCATTAGGCAATGTAGTAATCTGATCGAGCTCTGCAGGGTCCTATAAAGGGCGAGAATGAAAATTAGCCTTATACGGACTTGGCCGCTGGGGAGAAGCAATGCCTGCAGCTCTTACCTTGGACTCATTGAGCGTAGCAAAGCTTCTGGAGGCTGAACGAGGCACGCGAGCCAGAGGCTTCGCAGACTCGACGGCGCGCAAGACAGAGCGACGCATGTCTGTCGCTTAGATATATAAATTTGGTTGAAACAATTAGAAAATATCTAATTGTTAACCCTCCGCTCGGCGTGGCTTTATGAAGGTCTTTCGTAATGGCGGCGCCGCAAAGATTTGGGACCGGAGACTTGCCCCGATTGATGGCTTATCTAATCAATCACTCTGGCAGACAACAACAATGATATGATGAGAATGACCAGTGTCTCAACACGACATATTCTTCACTGTAGGGCTTGGTGGCTTTGGAAACATTTAGGATTAGGATAGGACAATTCTGTTCTCTTTACCGGAATCGTGGCGTCTCATTAGCAGCGATTAAAATCCGGTATTAATCTGGTTACATATTTTTGCGGAGTGATGCTTTGCATGTCACGCTACATCCATGTCGTTCTTGATATATACAGTGTTCCGTACACATACATGATAGCTACCCAATATATTTCCCATACCTAGCAAACTCCTTATCCTCCTTCAGCCTCTCCAAATCCTCATCCCTAAGACATGCCATGAGAGCAATCTCACCATCCAACGCCTTTGGCAGAAGATACATCAAGCCTTCAACAGGCAAGAACCGTGGTCTGCGTACACACTCAGGAGTGCCCAGTCCAAGATTGAAATCAAACTCGTAGCAATTGATCTTAGCCCAGGAACTAAGCATCAGATCCCTTGACGGGTCAATCGACGCCCCAAATGAGAAAACGCTCTTATCAGGGGTTCGAGCGAAACAGGTCGCCAGGGCGCGAGTGTGATATGCCAAAGCTTCAGGATCCAAAGAAGACCGGAGCCGAGATGCGATCACACCCAATGGCTCCTCGACGAGTTTCTGAACCGTGAAGCTGTTGTACGTCATATTTTGAAACAAGCCTGGGTATGTCTTTGGCACATCCAAATAGCTGCGTACATCGACGGCGCGGCCGAATGTCAATTCGGCTGTTGAGTCTAGGCGTGGAAGACGCGCGCGGACAACAGCCTGCCAGATGAAGGCACAAAGGGCGTCGTCTGTTGAGACGAAGCCTGAGGTGGCGGTCTTTGTACAAACGGACTTCAAATCGGCGAGATCGCTAGGTGAGAAATTGAATAATGCCCAAGTGCATACAGGTGGAGGAGGTCCTCTCTCGTCCGAGGTGTCCCTGCAAGCAGCCTGAGCTGGGAGAGGCTTCAGAATCTGTCGCGCAACCTCGGGACCTGGCTGGTAAGAGTCATCCAGCAAAGGAATAAGACTGTGTCTGGCAAGATTGCCGGACGAAAGTTCCTGCTCGGAAAATGGCTCATTGCGGCAGGCTTTTGACAGCAACCGCATAAGATGCCCCTGGCCTGTCATGTCCATTGTCATATGGTGGCCGACAAAAGTCAGCAACAGACCGCCAGTAATGAAAGTCGCTTGCACGATCAAGACCGGGTCCCAGTCGTTAGGCTCACTAGGGAGCGGGATGGTCATGCGGGGGGCAACAACTCTCTCGTCCAGCATGCTGCTGGGGAAGCTAGCCTGCCGAAGAACACCCATTGTTGGTATTGAAGGGTCACCTCTCAGATCTTTAACAACCAGGCAAGGAGCTGTATCCAACAGCTTGATCTTGAAAACGCCTGTGTTGCCTTCACTTGCACCCTCATTAACGACTTGGCCGGCCACCCAGGGAAAGCTTGCAGATAGTCGTTCAAGACCCCTTGTCAATGTGTCAATGATTGCTGGGTAAGGGGAAGCATCCGCCACAGGATAACAGAGGCATATTTGGGTGTAGATGTTCAGTAACGGCTGATTTGCGAGAATGTCCACAGCGAGATCGTCCTGGTTAGATATTGTACTTGTGACTAGCATAGTGGATTGGATCGCTTGGATTTCTGATGTCTATTATCTCATTGCTGTTCATCCTGATGAAGATTGCCTGGATTTATAGGAGCCCAATGATCCTGCCTCGTTGTATTATGCATCTGCAGACACAAGTAACTTTGTCTGGATGAGCGAACATGAGTCATCCTCACTCATCAGATTTGGTACCTTTTGGGCGCATCCTCTAAATGCGATGAACATTTCCCCCACTTTGCCATACTATATCAGATAACCACTATCAAGCTTGCTTGCATCATCCAATACGGAATCTATATCAGCATAGAAGGCTGGAAAAGTGACTTTGACAAACGTTTTGACCGTCACAGCAGGCGTTCAGCTTAGCCGCACTGGGCAGCTGCCTTACGTATCATGTGAGCGGCTGAATTGAGCAGCAAACTAGGAATGTCGGAATTCTGTATTTGATGATCCTAAGGCATTGGTATTGTATTCCCCTGGTGGATGATGTCCGTTGCGGCTCTGACTTCGATCTTGAGGAGACGATAACTGGATTTAAAATTGGAGTGTGAGCCTGCATTACTGTCTCTATGGTCTATTCCATTATCTTTTCGTGCCCTGTATCTATCACGGTCCTTCAAGTAGGCTCTGTCTATGGATGTTCAGCAGCCCAGTTCCTATACCAGTCCAGGCAACCAGCATTCGCAACACTAGCACCAATTTTGATGTTCAGTCCGCAAAGGATCTGCTTCACCGCATTTTCGACTTTTTTGCCGTTGGACGTCACCGGAATTTCAGGACATACATCCACGATACCCGGAACATGGCGAGGACTGAGCTCTTTGCGGATAGTGGTTTGAATTCGCGCCGCAAGATCCGCAGGCATAGTTGTGGGCGTCTTCCCATGCGAGGCGAGCTTCACAAATAGTACGACAGTCTCGTCAGTATCGATGACCTCTCGCCTGCGTCCTACGCACAAAGAATCTTCGATTTCCTCAGCAAAGTGTTTCAGGAGGATGTTGTAGATTTCCGCACTTCCGAATCGAACACCTGCCGGCTTCAGGACACCATCGCTTCGGCCAAGCATGTGCACTCCTCCGGTGTGCGGGTTGATCCGGACAAAGTCGCCATGATGCCAAATGCATGGGCCGAAGACGTCAAAATAGCTCTTGCGGTATTTTTCCGCGCCAACTGGCCCCGGTGGCCAGAACATCACGGGTTGGGCGGGAAATGGTTTTGTACACACGAGGTCACCGGGTTCATTCGCGCCGCTGATATCAGTCCCAGAGTAGTCGTATGCCGTCACAGCCATTCCGAGACAGCGGCATTGAATTTCGCCTTTGTAAACAGGTAAAATTGGGCAGCACGAACAGAACAGTGAAAGGATGTCGGTACCGCCGGTGATCGAACCCAGCATAATGTCAGGATGTACGGAGGAGTACACATATTCAAATGTAGAGGGCGCCAGAGGAGATCCAGTGCTGAAAATAGCCTTCAGCGTCTGCAAAGTCACTGGCCGGTGAGGGTGCTGCGTTGGTTTCAGTGAGGCCTGCTCCAAGATGGAAAGGTATTTTGCAGATGTCCCAAAATGTGTAATTCTCAACTCATCAATCAGACGCGGCATGGCCATCTCCCCGTTCCCTCCTTCTGGGTCCAAGGGTCGAAAAGGAGAACCGTCGTAGAGGACGATGGTGGCACCGCTGGCAAGACCAGACACCAACCAATGCCACATCATCCATGTCGTGGTCGTGAAGTAGAACAAGCGGTCTCCTGGACGAATGTCGCAATGGAGCACGTGTTCCTTCTTGTGCTGCAGCAACGTTCCCAGCGCCCCATGGACAATGGGCTTGGGCGCGCCAGTGGTGCCAGACGAGTAAAGTATGTAAACAGGGTGATCAGGCTCAAGGCTCGCAAATTCAAGGGCGGCTGATACATTTGAGACAGAAGTCAAGAACGTCTCATATGTACACGCTTTTCCTTGGGTGGGCTTTACCTCATCGACGTTGAATTGATGCGACTTGACGGTCTCGAAGACTACCAGCAGCTGAAGCTCTGGCAGCTCAGAGACAATCTGACGGATCTTTTCATAGGCACTATGCACTTTGCCGTTATATAACGAGGCGTTATCGGCAAACAAAATCTTCGGCTCGATCTGTCTCAGGCGCTCCAGAACCGCGTGGACTCCTGTATCGGGAGACACGCCAGTCCAGAAGGCACCTATTGATGTCGTCGCCAGCATTGCAACAACCGTGTTAGCATGGTTGCCGAGGAAGCCTGCCACACGATCACCCGCTTGCAAGCCTGCCTCCTTGAGGGAATTGGCACACTTGCGAACGCGCTCCCGCAGCTCTTTCCAGGAAACAAATTCTCTATCAGATTCTGTGGCAGAAATCACCGCAGTGGTATCTTCGGCTGGTGAGCTTGCCGGGTACAACAGGTTTTCCGCAAAGTTTAGTTTGCTTCCCTCAAAGAAGTGAGGCCTGGGAAAGAGTACTTTCTCGGAAGACATGACCTGGCCAAGATCAGTATTCTGTATTTTGACGACGGGTACAATACCTCGAATATGGAACCGAGCCCTATTAAGATACTTTGGAGTAGAGCTACTCACCCGCTCATACGGTTTGTGCGCTTTGATATTGGTATAGTGCCATATCTCCTCCCAGAACTCGGAAGGCTTAGATATACTCCACTGCCAGAGGTCATTGTAGCTCTGAAGAGAAAGTTGGTACTTTTGATTCAAGCCCTGCATGAAATCATATATCTGGGTACTGTGCGGATCTGAGTGCCGCCATAGTTCTTTCGCCTCCGCGGACACCTCATGAGGCTTGGCAGATCCGTTGATCGTCATGCTTGCTGGCTTGCTGATGGACGAGAATGGTTTTTCAGACCTCCAGTGATGTATAGACAAGAGAAAAGAAAAAGAAAGATTACGGCGAGTCCTGCCTGAGTCAGGAAGAACTTAATCGCGCGGCGGCCTTCCGTTTCCGTCGTGTACGACTGTTCTAGGGGAAGACTACGCGGGATGACAACCGACAACGCAATCAAATGGAATCACTGAATCAATTCTTGAGAAGGGACTGGAGATCTAAAATCTGCCATCTCAAAATTATACGATCAGAGACCAATCGACATGTTGAGCCAGTGATAGGGGAATCGCGGGGGCGGAAAGGATCGGATAGGGAGCGGGTAAGGGGAGAGTGTTCCGCCCCAGTGTTGCTCCTGTCCGCGGGCCATGGCTTCTGTGGTACTATAGTGTAGGATTGTTTAATGGCAGATGTGGATAGTTCACAAGGTAGACAAATGTTCACAATAATTAGGCATAAATCTCTAAAGACACATCTGATAGCTAGTGATAGTTACTATTTAATCACAGCTTATCACAGCTTAAGGTGAATCTATGACAAGGCACTAAGGTAGCTTCAATACGCTTAACAAGAGCCGGTATCAGGCACCATGCGCGTTTAAGCGGAGGTTACCTTATGCCTAAGGCAGATACTTTAATAATGCTTTAGCTAGAGTCTGGAGTCTGGAGTTCTGGACACAATATTTTGAAGCACTCTTTCAAGGACTAAAGTAGTTTTAAGAATAAATAATCATGAATCAGACCACGAAACGGAAGTTGTTCGCGTGTGATTTCAAGATCATGCCAGTTTCCTTGCATTGCCCCTTTCCTCAAGACCTCAACTCCATGAAATCATTAGAGCAAAAGAAAACAACAGAATGAAGATCAGGGTCAAACTGCATGTACATCGATAGTGCAGCACAGTTATCGTAAGGTATCTACCTTAAGTGTGCACTAGTCCAGGGGCTGTGGACCTGTAACATACAGTAATATTATGCATGGCAATTCCCCCTGCATATGGTAAGCGGAGTACCACTCTGGTAATCCGTGGAACAGGTTTCTGTTCTCTCTGGTAAGGTACGGTTAAGTGCTAGGTAAGTTCACAACCAGGAAAACCCTTTTTTCTTCATTTTTTTTACAATCAGTTTTTCTGGTACTTTCGGATTCTAACGCTCGTCTCAACCCTGATGAGCTTGACAATGTTCTTCTGAGGCAGTTTTGTATTCCTCTTTGATCTCCTGGATTGGAGTACAGTACGAATTACTCTTCATCTACATCAGGGCTCCGAGCCCTCCACGTGTGAGACCGCTGAGAGATCCATCCGGGTTCTCCGGCTTGGATTTCTGCCTCGAGTGATCTTGGTGGTACGTTGTTTCGTCCGTGGTCACCCTGAATTCTTGCATCGATGCCCCTTTCACCCCGCCGAAATTTCCATCAAGCCATCAACAATTGCTCATCTACATCTTCTGAAACATTGAAACCTGGATAAAAAATAAATCGAACTCAAATTGATCAGTTGTGGTTGACTTAGGTTTACAGTGCATTGGCGTTGTTTTCCCAACGTCTGCTCTCACAGAACCTCTCAGTGCGGGAGGCATATACACGCATCATATTAGGTTCTAAAGAACCAGCGTTGTTGCCTCACAGGTACTCCAGATCTCCTGCCACAATCACCATCTGAGAACTGCCGCTTCTACAACTTTTCTTTCCCTTTCCCATCACGACGACTCCTGAACGACTTTCGGTCTTCAATTCTGTCTAGTCCTTTCCTGCGATGCCTCGCCGACCTGCTACTTCCCCTTCTTTCGCCAACGACTCTTCCAACCCACCCTCCTTTTCGTCTACTTCGGGAAAGGGCGGTATCGCCATCAAAGCCTCTACGTCCAAACCGAATCGCTTCACCCAGCTCTTCTCAACGTCGCCTAAGTCCAAATCCGAACCTCAAACCGCACAGTCCGCTCTCCACGCAGCTAGTGGGAGTTTCCAACCCAGTCCCATCGCTCCGCCGATCAGTTCGGCATCACTGTCCCTACCGACCATTTCTTTATCGACAGCCACTGCGGGCAATCCCAACATGGACGAGCCTCCGACCACACTTTTCCAGCCTCCGTCGCCCGAAGAGGCCCGTCGCCAGGCCAAGCAGCATGCCCAATTTGGCCCCATTGGTCATCCAAGCCACCGCTACTCGAGTAGACACCCTGGTGGTGTCTTCCCCGAGCCGGTGATGGACGAACCGCCCTATTATTATCTTCTCACTACCTATATCAGCTACTTGATTTTGCTTGCTTTCGGACACGTTCGCGATTTCTTCGGGAAGCGCTTCCGCGAGGAGAATTATCGGCACCTGAAACCTCGTAATGGATACGGTGCTCTCAACAGTGATTTCGACAATTTTTACGTGCGCCGTCTCAAGTTGCGTATTAATGACTGTTTCGAACGGCCCGTGACCGGTGTCCCTGGAAGATACATCACCTTGATCGACCGGGCCTCCGATGACCACAACAGACACTTCTATCTCACCGGAACCACTACGGATACCTTGAACCTGAGCTCATACAACTACCTCGGATTCGCCCAGTCTGAAGGTCCCTGCGCTGATCACGTCGAGGATACTCTGAGGAAGTACGGGATTAGTGCTCCTAGCACTCGCGCTGAGGTGGGAACGCAAGATCTTCATGCCGAAGTTGAGAGTCTTGTTGCCAGCTTTGTGGGCAAGGAGGCCTCGATGGTCTTCTCGATGGGTTTTGGTACAAATGCAAATATCTTTCCGGCCTTGGTGAGCAAAGGCTGCCTGATTATCTCCGATGAATTGAATCACGCATCAATCCGCTTTGGCGCTCGTCTATCAGGTGCGTCCATTGGTATGTTCAAGCACAACGACATGAAGGACCTGGAGGCAAAGCTGCGTGAAGCCATCTCTCAGGGCCAGCCACGTACTCATCGCCCATGGAAGAAAATTCTCGTCGTTGTTGAAGGGCTGTACTCCATGGAAGGATCCATGTGCAATCTTCCAGGTCTCATTGCGCTGAAGCGCCGCTATAAGTTCCATCTCTTTGTGGATGAGGCGCACTCAATTGGTGCCATAGGTCCCAAGGGGCGGGGTGTTTGTGACTATTTCAGCATCGACACGAGCGAGGTAGACATTCTGATGGGGACCCTTACCAAGTCATTTGGCGCCAATGGGGGCTACATTGCCGCTGATAAAGCGATGATTGACAAACTCCGTGCGACCAATTCCGGTATTTTCTACGGCGAGTCGCCAGCTCCTGCTATTCTGGCACAGATCTCTTCCGCGCTCCGCATCATCAACGGCGAGATTGTTCCGGGCCAGGGTGAAGAGCGGTTGCAGCGTTTGGCCTTCAACTCTCGATATCTTCGCCTCGGGTTGAAGCGTCTTGGCTTTATAGTGTACGGTCACGACGATTCGCCAATTATTCCTGTCCTTCTTTTCAACCCTGCCAAGATGCCCGCCTTCTCCCACGAGATGCTTAGAAGAAAAATCTCCGTCGTCGTTGTCGGATACCCCGCCACTCCTCTGGTATCCTCTCGGGCTCGTTTCTGCGTTTCTGCCGCGCATACCAAGGAAGACCTTGACCGCGTCCTGACTGCCTGCGACGAGATTGGCAATGTCCTGCAACTGAAGTTTTCTACCGGAATTGCCGGAGGCGCTCTACCCCCCGATGAAGCTATGGGCCATCCTCCTGAGAAGGAGATAGAATTGCGGCGCAAGCGGTCGCCGAAGATTGTGCCTCCTCGTTGGCGTATTGAGGATGTCATCAGACGGGGTGTACAAGACGTCCAATCGCCACTGTACTAACTGCCTGCACGACGAGTCACGAAGCTCGAGGGCAAATTGTGCCCGCCCTGGCTTTCTTTCCCACCCGAGATACAAGCATGTCGCTTGATCATGCGCTATTGTCGAGTCGTGCGTGGGATGAGCCCCCGATAATAAGCCAGATTCGGTGATGCTGGTCATGCCGCGTCGCAAGGTTTTTCAGCACTTCTTGCCCTGTAACACTAGACGGTCCACTTCAATCGTCTGTTGATCTTTTGCGCTGTCCATGAAGAGTGTCTAGTTTGAAAACAAAGTCACGAGTATCTGAACAATGAACGAATACGCCTTTGCGGAACCTACGATGACCAAGCAACTTCTACCTTCTTCGGCGAGTATCTCGGCCGCTCCACTGATGGACGACATGGAGAACCCGGCCGCTTGCTTTTAATCATTATTTTCTTACTTCTACCCTTTCATTGTTCGACTTTTTAGACAACATACTGATATTTCCGGTCTTCCCCACCAAGCGCCGGGGGGTTCGAATTGGGGCCGGCTCTTAATTGTGCATGATATTGCGGCCCAGGGCTTGAACCTTAATCAGGTTGTTGAAAGTGGACTTGCTGAGAGAGATTTCTTGGGCGGAAGTGTACCTAAATGTTTATACTTGGATGACTGTTAATATATTATTTTTTTACACAAGGATATATATATCCAGGAGTGAAAAGCCTGTTCTGCCAGCCAGCATCCCTAGACAGCGTCATTAGAAAAAGTCAGAATCTATTCCCCTCGATGAATAGTCTAAAGACCCTATATCATAGCATAGTGTAATGCATAGCATGATGTATAAACATGACTAGACCGCAGTGACGTGGTGATACCACTGGGAATATCTAAGCAAAAAGGAAGACCATCACCTAGGTTGAATAGCGACGATGAGGAGACGCCATCGCAAAATACCAAAAGTGGAACAAAGCGTATGCACATGCATCATGCCGTCAGAAACGGCCAGTCATGACGATGATCCATCTATTCGTGTACATCCCAAAAAACCCCATTCCCAAAATGCAACGCCAAAGACAAGAAGAGGCGAGAAAATGCAAAACACAAGGAAACAATGGAGGTGTACTCCATGAAAGATAATGGTCATCAAGGCGTCGACGCCTGCACGCTGTATCGTATGGAAAAAGGGAATAAGACATCGGTGAAACATGAAGCAGAAGGAGCCGCAACGATCTAAACAGTGCCGTATCTCTCTCGTTCTCCGCGCAGGAGCGCCTGGCCTTCCCGCACGGAGGTGTCGTGGAATTCGCGCCGAGGGGAAACGGAAGGGATCCAGCCCCTCATCCAGCCCCGAACGCGGGTCCACCTGCTTCTTCTTTCCGAGTACATGACGCGAACAATCTGATCTTCGTCGTGGCCGCCATACATGAGGAACTGCAGGCCCATGCAGCCGTCAAGAAAGAGGACGCCAAAGGCGCCGAGGAAAAAAGGAGTGGCGAGGCCAACCCATTCCAGGCGATTGTTGCCGTCTGCGCCTGCCCATCCGCGACCACCCCACGGGGGGAAGTCGTACCATGCGTTGGGGTTGGTTGCGAGCGAGGCAGAGTAGAAGAGGTTACCGCAGAAGGCAGCCATGAAGAGTAAGGGGGAAAGCCCTGCGGTGCTTTTGCGGCGGTAGTTCTTGATGAGTTGAGGGGGACGTGAGCCGAGGTAGAGGACCGTTGAGACCCAGGAGGAGATTCGGCCGATCAGCTCAAGGCTGTTCTGTTGTGAAGCCGCGGGCGGAAGGCTGTGTTCGGCGGGCTGTGCGTTGGCTACAACGGCGCAGAGGACCGATGCCAGAAACAGAGTGCGCGTGGAGGCGAGTGGCAGGCTAGGACCACTGGCTGATCTGGTGATCGTGCGACGAGACGAGCTCAACTTCTCGTTAATGTATAGTAGCGGTTGGCTGTCTATCGCAATGGGTGCTGATTTCTTCAGGAGCTCCTCGTCCTTTGTGGCTGAGCCTTCCGTTGCAGGCTTTTGTGGTGGGATATCAGTGATCGAATCCTCCTCCGACAGCGGCACTCCCTCAAGGAACGCTCCGGTGTCGTCGCCATGGGGAGAGTGAGAGTGGTCAAGGTACGCGACCCTTTGGCCTTTGTAGTGCGTATACCAAAAGAACTGAAACACTAGGGTGACATCCACCAAGACGTAGTACGCAGCTATGATCACTTGCCAGGTTGCCTGCCGGGTAAACAGAGCACCCACAAGGTTACCCGTATCACCAAGACACCACTCGACGAGAAAGAACAGGGACAGGCCAGACGTTGACTGCAACTGGTAGTTCTTGTATATTTGGGGAAGCTGTGCAAAAAGCCAGGATATGATGCTGAGCGTTCCGAGAATCGAAGATAAGAGCGCAAGAGGCGTTGGAAGGCAGATATGCAAGTGGGACGAAACGGCAGCTAGGAATGGTGACGAGGGCTCACAGTGTGCTGGAAGAGCGGCTGACAAGACATTGTATAATAACGGAGGAGGCATACTGAGCGACTCTATTCAACCTCGCAAATACTCTCTTGTTGGCCCAGGGTACCTGCTGATTCTCAAATGAATGTGGGGAGAGTCTGGGGAAGTACACAGGAAAGAGCAAAGCGGAGCGGGTGAGATGTCTTTCAACATGAACAACGAAGAGTGATATGGTATGCCCTTATCCTTGGGGTATTCTTGACACAAAGAAAAGATTCAAGGCTGATAGAAAAGGATATCGTTGATTGAAGAAGTGAAAGAATACAAGGACTCAGGGCTGTGTTGTCTGTCCATCGGGTTGGGGTTTGGGGGAGTCACACTGCCCCTTCGAGTATGGGTCACGAGTCATTCATTGTGGGCTCAGCTGAGAGAGAGACTGACCACTTGCGTTGATACAGACACAAATGAATCACGCTCCACAAGCTGATAAATTAGCACTTAGTCGATCCTTCAGCAGATAGATAACTCCTGATCTGTATCGGCGTATCCTGCTGATACCATTGGCTGCTTCATTTCAAACCGCCGCCGCATTCGGACTAGGACGGGATCACTGACTAACATCTGTTCGTAAGATAAGTGGTCACGTGCCATCAATCAATACTACATTACAATCATCATCATCATTCTCCTTTTGATAAGAATCTGGTTTTCCGGTTTCATTGGTACCGACCCTTATCGAGTTTCTTTATCAAAGTTCTAGAGAGGTACCTTACCTAGCTCATGACATCAAGGTCAGGTGATCAGTAGCGCTCCAATTATTGTTGCGTACCAAATGATCCATTGTCGACACCAATGCTATGTATTGTCTCAAGAATGCTCAAGCGTAAAGTGGACTGAAGGATCTACTCAACATGTGAAAGACTATTAACCCCGATGTCGTCGTTTCGTCACTGCCTATTGGGAGCCTGGAGCGATCAAGGCAATGTTTGCAGTTACCCATGATCTGCCAGGCGTATCAAGGGGCCGTTCATCAAGCACAGAGCGCGCTACGCACATGCGGGGCATCACTGCACAGCTAATCTTGGGGAGCAAAATAAACAACCCGTCTGCTACTGTATAGACAACATGAGCGAACTGAAAGCGCAAGCAACGAACGCGCAAGCAAGGACATGATGAAAAATAGTTACAACGAACGAAGACCATTCTTATCGCAGGACAATTCAAAACCATGCGCTCACCTCATGGCAGGCTTACTCCTCCCCACAGAGAACGCAAGCATCAGGAACCGTCACTGTGTGTACTATGTCTCGAGTGGCTCCGATGATGGCGATGGCCATGGTGATGATGACTGTGATGCCCATGATCATGATCATGATGATGGTGACGATGGCGATGGCGACTATGATGATCCTCGCCATGCTCCCTGTGTTCCTTGACTCGGTCTCCCACAAAATTTCCTAATAGCGCACCACCCAAAGCACCAAGGATACCATGATTCTGTTTATGTCCCAGATAATAACCAGACGCACCTCCCAGCAACGTTCCCGCTAGGTCTCGACCCTGCCCAGTTGACCCAGATCTAGACCTAGATCGCGATTCGGATCCGGCGTTCATCGCGCTACTGGACGCGCGGGATCGGCTGCGCCGTGATCGGGAAACATCTCTATGTTCGTCGATATGCTGGTTGCTGTAAGGCATTAGTCAAAGATAGAATCAAATGACGAGGAAGGTGGCATACTAATACTCAGCGTTGCTGCCCTGGCGACCTCTAGCTTCGTGGTTTCCGGGCGCATGCGGGTACCCCAGCGCATCAGACGGGCTCAGAAAATCCCTCTGCGGCTGCTGCTGATACTGTTGCGCTTGCTGGCTCAGATCATGCTGGGAATTGTAGGCACCCGTATACTGGTGAAGCTGGCCAGGCTGCCCATATGGTTGCTGAGACCCATAATCATGCGGGGCGTCCTGGGGCGCATAGTACACCCCGCCGCTAGGGTGTGGACCTGGAGCTGCAGCGTTGTAGGGTGGGTACTTGCCATATGGGTCGGACATCTTCGAGAGTTAAAGATTTGCGAGAGGCAAATGGCTTCGTCCAGAGTAGGAGAAATTGCAATTTAAGGAAGAAACAGGCTGAATGATGTCAGACAATTCTTTATAACGAAAGATTCGATCAAGCATGGATCGGCTGTCCCGTGCGGCTGAGGTGTAACCTGTATGACTGCGTCGGCACCAGATGACCTTCCCGCGCGACATCGTCCAGTCACGGTACTAGGGCATTCCACATAACTCAAGGAGACCCCATAACTCAAGGAGACCCTCGATTTATGTACTTAATAAGGGCGTCAAAGTGACACAGTCCAGAAGATTAAAGACACCGCTATGAAGAATAAAGGAAGCTGTGCACTGGTTGCGAGAGCAAGGCTTCGTTTACGATCTACCATATTCACAATCAGGAACCTAGAGCATGTGCCACAGAGTGATCTGCGGGATATGTTTACGTCTTCATTTGTAAGAGGCAAGAGTCATGATAGGAGATGCTAACTTGGCTGTAGAGCAGGAGAAGCATGCAAGAGTCGAACAAGCCCATATATGCCTCGGGGTATCCCAATAGAGGTAAAGCGAGGAAAAGAAAAGAGAAAAGAAAGATCGAGCATTGTAGAGAGAGAAGGACGACATCCCAGCAAGCCCAAAATAGCTTGCGATAAACTCATTTGTTCAACGAGGGGAACAAAGAATGAAACAAACAAGCTGGCAGCAAGGGGCTTTCGCGGCCTCTGAAAATGGATTCACACCAGCGCCCTTTGAGTCGAATAAGAGAAAAGGGTAATGCGAGAAGGTGAGAAAAGCAAAAAAAAAAAAAGTATAACGACCCAGTTTTAAAACCGGCTAGAATAGAAACGAGCCAGTGGGGTGTATAGCTCATGTAATGCGCCCAGCACAGTAGAGCATCTGGCCATCAGAAGAACCCCGATAAAAGTTCGACGACATTTGCATGACCTACAACTGTTATATCAACAGAGCAGTCACAACGCTGTAACGCTTACTGTCTTCGTGGCAGTTGCATTTCGCAAGCGTCGACCGACCCAGTCAGCTAGCATCATGTCCAACTGGCTGCTCATTTCCTTCAATCTCCTGCTTTCCTCTTTGAAAAGGCTGCCCGTGATTGGATGCTCAGGACCAGCAGGAGGGATGTTCGAACTATCGTGCACAATAATGTACAAATCGCGGATGTCGTTCTCATCGTCCAAGTACGACCGCAGACTAGCGTCGCTCCAAGTCGGGGTTTCCGCAGAAAGTCGTTCCGTTGGAGAGACGACTGTATCAATGCCCTTGCTCTCGCTGGCGTCTTCGGCCGGGGAAATCGGTGGCGAGATTGGGGAGACAGAATAATCCTTTGGAGAAGACAAATCCGTTTGAAGGCCAGGTGGTGCACTGGCCTCGACTGGTGACACACTCGCAGGCGACTCTGCTCTTCGGTCATGAGATGAGTTCTCCTGTTTCTGCGGAGATCTCTGCGGCTGAGATGTCACAGAGGGGTGGAGTGCAACCATCCGATCGTAAGGACTTTGTCTTTCTTCATGTTGGAACTCAACGCGATCGATCGTAGCATCCCTTGCGATTACCTCCTCAGGATCCCGCTTCGTGGAGGTATCTATCGAGTCAACAGGAGTCAGTGCACTGTCTCCCGCGTCCTCAGAAGCCATTGACCGTGTGGGCTGAGGAAGAATGTCGTCGTCCTCAGAAACCACTTGTCGGATTGTATCAGTCTTTTGTTTTGCCTTTGTAAGCGCCTTTTCACCACTTTCGATGGCAACAGGCGCATTGCCATGCTGAACCGCTTGCTTGGCGGGCGAGGTTGCAGGCAGAGTCTGCTTCTGGGACTTAGTTGTCTGCTTTTGTGCCGCGTTCCCCTTCGCTGGCCGTGACTCAGGGGACGACACGGACTCAGAGGACGTCTTAGGTATGGGCGACGTTCGGGATAATTCGCCTGAGACCTTTTCTGGCTCCTCAGATTCATCTTCAGTAGATTTGCTTCTTTTATCCTTCCGCTTGAATAGCCCACTCAGCATCCCTGGCTTCTTGTCCTTTCTCTTCTTGTCATCCTTGCCTTTGTCGTTTGCACCCAATGCTTTGTCAATGTTGTCAAAGCTTCCGCGGCCCTTGAGACAATCACAGCAGTCAGCACTGGTTACGAGCGCAATTCTTTCTGAATTGACGGATGTATACACACCTCCTTTGTCTCGCTCGAGAGCCCGCCACTACTCACTTCGTCACGAAGCAAATTCGGCGTCAGAGATATCTTCTTCGTCTCAACAGTGTCGTCTTTGAAGAACGAATCCGTGTTCCTCACAGTACCATTCCGAGATCTGCTGACAGTAGGTTCACCTAGAATGTCGATCAGCAAGGTTTAGGTCTCGTCCAGCAATACACAGCAGAATTCGCTTACTTGCTGTCTCAAACAACTCCTGGCTGGAGCGTTGCTTGTCGGGGCTCGTAGAGCCAGACTGCTCAGTTTCTTCCACGTTTTCCGACTCATCATTGAGCTTGTCGCGATTTGACTTCGGTCTGAGCGGCTCGACGACGATATCATCATTGTGATCATCCTGCAGGTCATCGCCATCGCGTATGATCTCTCCGCCGTCGATAAGAGAGTCTCCATCGTCGATTTCATCCTCGGTCGACCAATCAATATCGGACGCTTCAATATAGGTCGGAGCGGTGAAGGTGACGTTTTTTGCATTCCTGCGGCGCATTGCTTTCTTTAACGGATTTTTGGATTTCTCCGAATTGTCACCCAGCATCGTTGCTGACAACTGCTGCTGTTAGAGAGTCCTAGTACTCAGCGGATATCACCTACATCAACATTTCGATGCTTGTTCAGCCTTGCAAGTCTTTCTGTGGGGGTTTCTATATGCTCAGCCGGCAGATACCCTATAAACTGTCAGGGAACGGTTTTGGGGACGGCAAGGAGAAATTTTACCGATGCTGCCATCCTTGACGATTCGAACGAGCCACCAGTAGCTGTTGCTATCGTCGAGAAGGACCATTGTATCTCCTTTTGCTGCGTTGGCTTGTCCATCAACCGTGGCGACAAAGTTGTGAAGAGCGTAGACGAATTCGAAATCAATATCTTCTATTCGATGTAAGCCACGTGCATCTGGAAATTTCGAGAAGTACAAGGGACATGGGGACATTGCACGGCAACAAGAAGTGCAGCGCAATGAACCATCCCGCGAATATCAAAGTCCCAAGGTCCGGTGCTTACCATCGTCAATTGACGGCGAACTTGAGATTTTGTCCATCAAATCATCATCCAACAGATCGTCACTTTCTTCGTCTGCGAGGTCGCCTTCTTCTGAACCATGGCCTCGTCTATGATGGCCTAATCCTGCATCCGCAACGTCCATATCGTCATGAATATCCATTCCATCATGGTAATGGTCAGCGTTCAGGTGGCTCTCGTCCAAATTGGGGCCGTGTATCATCTCATTTCTTGTGTCTTGATCCGCATGGCGAAGGGTATGTTCCTGATGGGGTGCAAGGCCGCTGCCTGTATTGAAGTTATGCTTCGAATGATCTTTAGCCGAGGGAGCATGGTGATCTTGAAGGTCGAGCGTGTCTACCGCGAGCGAGTCAGAATCTCAACGGCGCAGCTAAGGGCCTTTGCCAGTTCGGAGTAATTGTTTCGGCACGTACCAGCTCGGATGATTCGAGGTCTTGTCATTTTCGAGTTTTCTCAAATATTTGGGCCCTAGAAAAGCGAGGAAGTTGTATCGAGAGCTCGAAAATTGAAGACCGAGGAGCGACTGAGATATCAGGCGTCATCGATGTCGCAAGAGAGCAAAACAAGATTCGACCCAATAACGATTGGTGTGGAGGTAGGGAAAAAAAAGGAATTAAATTAAGGGACGAAAAAAAACAGAACAGGAATAAAACGATCGAATTGAAGGAGACTCTTGTCAATTAAAGACGCAAGGATAAGTGTCAAAGAGTCTGAAGTTAATCAAAGTGACAGCGCCAGCTTGGTCAATTCCGCAGAGAGCGTCGGCTGAAGGTGTCAAGGATAGACGGTCAAATAATGGCAATATGGCCCGCAAGACGAAAGAAATACTTCCAGAGCGATTATTGACAAGAACAGGCCAAACAAGGAAGAAAAGAAGAGATATGCAACGCCCGTAGCCGTGTCAATGACCGGGTAGTCCAACGTGTTCCCCGGACTATCAAGACAACGTCCGAAAGGGGGGTGTCCAGAATCTCCAAAAACAAGCGCCCCTTGCGCGCGCTTATTAGGATTGGCCTAAGTGCCTGAGCCAGGCACCTAAGCCAGAATGCTCTAACTACGATAGGGTTAGGATGTGCTTGTATGACCCTAGGGCAAAGAGTCGTAGGAACGGGCCCAGTTATCAGGTGACATAATGGGGCCTGTATGATGATAAAGCACCGTTCATTGGACGGTGAGCAAATTAGTGTCGATCTGCCACCCCCGCTCACTGCTCACTTTCCGAGTCTTCGCAACAATCGTCCCGTCATCACCCGATACACCCATCCTTGCCCATCACCTTCATCTCGGATTCGAACGCTTCCAACAATCTTTTCATCCAAATCTCTGTGGACAGGTGACACATCATCTAGTTATACTCCTCTTTCACCGAGTCTCCTTCATCTTCAAGTGGAGCCCCTTCTGTTCGAATCGTACCACCCGTTTTTATGGTTGCCCCCAGTAATCGACAGAGTTGAAACACAACGGACCTCCGTCGACCCTCCCATGTAGTCGACTCATCGTATCATCGCGAAATTCAGCAACCTCATCACCATTTTAGCTTTTCCACTTATTACGGAGTTGTCCTCTTTGAGGGCATGGCTCATAAAGAAAGGAACGGATTGGCAGGCTTGAAGATCGAAACTTCCTTTCAGCGACATCAGTGGCAGCGGCCTGAAGGTGGCCGGGGAGCGACGGATGATGGCAATGGCATCGAGGGCGACCGTACCAACATCTTTTACGATTCTGACGCGCGCGGTTGCGGTACTGATCAAGACAACAGTGTACTGAGTGGTCTTCATTCAGCGACTCCTCCAATCTCGGTACCTCGTCACGATGATCGTCACACGCACGATGTTAGCTATCCTCATAAGCCAGAAGATGTTTCAGCCTCCCCGCTTGAGAGCTACATTCAGAATCGACGCCCCTCCATCAGCTTTGATCCTAACGTCACTCTAGATTCTGGCCAACAGCAGCCTCTTGAAGAGCCACTTGCCAAGGGAGATCCGAGAGATCGAGGTCTCTTCAAGTATCAATCAAGGACTTCAGGCTTAAGGAATGCTTTGTCCCAAGAAGACCATGAGGAGCACGATGTGAAGCAGATCGACTACAACGCTAGTCCCAGAAGATATCGTAACCAGCGTATCTTCCCTACTGGATATCGCGGAAGTTTTCCGACTAGTCCAGAGGAAGAGATTCCTATGAGCGCTGAACTTGACCGTCCAACATCCTTGACTTCTGTTTCAACTGTGTCTCCTATCAACGATGAAGTTCGAACGCCGCCGGAAAGTTCCAGGGACCTCTTATCTCCCATCTACGTGGCGTCACCAATACAAACGTTCGCTTCGCTCGATGAGCGCAGTTCTTGGTCCACAGGTGTCATAACGCCATTTGGTAGCAAGCCAAGGGGACTTCGAGGCTCTACGCGTCAGAGCTCTCGCCGATCTACTCTGTCGAGCGGCAAGTCCCCAGCCAGCACGTTTCTGTCTATGTGGAATGGCCGAGAAGAGCCCACTCCACAGCCCGATGACGAGGGTCAAATGGTTGGTACTGAGTATGTGCTTGGGAAACAGATTGGCTTTGGCGGATTCAGCACTGTAAAGGAAGCATATAAAGTTGAAGAAAGTGGTGAAACCCGGCGCCTCGCTGTAAAAATCGTCCGCAAGCAGGTCTCTGGGAAGAGCGAGAAAGAGAATGACATGGTTCAAGCTGAATTTGATCACGAGGTCAGAGTCTGGCGATACCTTAATCACCCGAATATTTTGACGCTGGATGCGGTGTACGAGACAGACTATGCCACTTTCTGCTTCACGAAGCTGGCTATTGGTGGTACCCTCTTTGATCTTATCCGCCAGAACCGTCAAGGCTTGGATATCAAGCTTGCCAAAAAGTATACCTACCAGCTAGCATGCGCCCTGCGATATCTGCATGAGGACGCCCGCGTTGTGCACAGAGATATCAAGCTTGAGAACTGTCTACTAGACCCTGACAAGTCCCAGGACGGTACACAGTCGTGTACTCTTGTCCTCTGCGATTTTGGCATGGCTGAATGGCTAAACACGGACAATGAGGGAGACTCCCCAGGCCCTTACGACGATGCCGCAGACCGTCCACCACCGAGGAACATCGGCCCGGCCGGGTCGAGTACTAGTGTTGCTGGAAGCTTGGAATACGCCTCCCCTGAGTTGCTTCTCTCAGACAATGGCGTGATTGATCCTTCAGTGGACATCTGGGCGTTCGGTGTCATTGTCTACACTGTCATCGTTGGATCACGTCCTTTCCAGGATTCCTTCACCCCTCGTATACAATCGAACATTCTCAACGGAACCTGGAACCGACAGGCTGTCCTGGGTAACACCCGCGACCCGCAAGTTGTAAAGGACAGAGAAGCTGCGCTTGAACTCATCCAGGGTTGCCTCGACATGGACGCCAGAAGGCGCTGGACTATTCGTGATGTATTGTCATCACGTTGGTTGGATGGCTTTTCCGAAAATATGCAGGACGGTAGCAGCGACTCAATCTGGAAGCTTTGAGTGCTTCTTTGACGGCAGAATTGCTGGCACTTTTTGATATTCTTTACACCTTTTGAGTGCTAAAGACTGAGATGAATTTTATGACTTATGTGTGCTTTATTTTGATGGTCATCACTGGCGCTCTCTAATGACAGCACGAGGGCTGGTGTTTCGGAAATGGTTGATCATCTGTGATACCCTTTGTTTTTCTCGACGACTTTTGCTATGACCTTATATATGGAGGGATTGATATCCCGGGGGGGGTTTTTTTCTTTTTTTTTCTTTCCTTTCCTTTTCTTTTTTTCTTTTTTKGATTCGTTCTCGACTCATCTATGGTATACTCCGGCACTTCCGCAGGATGAATGGTTTATGGAATTTAAGGAAAAGTCACTCCGTGTTAGCGAGCATGGCGTTATTTCTGGCTGGTCCTCTATGCGTTCTTCACTCAATGGCTTTTGCATGATGTACATATATATCTTCAAATGGCTCTCCTGCTCATAGCCGGCTGACTTAATTCAATCTATCTCTATGATTCGTTTTCCCGTGACCTACATGGCTAATATGCGAATTACGAAACCACTTGGGGGGGGATTGCTCTGTATTGACAATAACCCCACCATCTTCTCGATCTTCGGCCTTTGTAGATTGATCCGACCTGAAATTGGGCTAAGTGCTATGCCTGCTGTTTTGACTCGGTTAACGAAAGCAGAGGGCGATTGGAAGAAATGAGAGCTACACGACCAAGGTTTAGTATTCCATTCATGCAAAGTATTTATACACGTATTCCCACAGGAAAATCGGAAGCCAACAAGACAAAATGTAAACGAAGAAGACAGGCTAGTTATACCAGGAACACAAGTCAAAAATATGGAGCTAGACACGGTAGATTTTTTTCCTTCACTACCAAAGTCTGTTCTCCGGTAGTACCTTCTCCTTCTTGACGCCAGCAGACGATTTGCGCTCCGCCGGCGAGCGGAAGAACAAACTAGGTCCCTCGGAGGGTTTGAGCAGATGGCTTAGATACCCCCGGTGGGCCGGGTCACGGTAGTACTCGATATCGCGACGCTTAGTCGGGTCCGGGAGCCGGTACTTGTAGCCCATTTCGCGCATGATATTTGACTCGGTGAGATCCTGGGCCTCGAGGCCGGCGGCCTTGAGGAGGGCGTCGCTGGCGCTTTCGGACGACCATGCGGTCGAGATGAACGGGTGCGTCTCACGCTTCATGATGCGGGCTATGGCGGAGCGGGTGTAAAATCTCGTTGTCACGGAGCCGCCGGCGGCCTCGACGGCAGCGATGGCGCTGGCGGAGGCGCGCGACACGACGATGTGAATGGGTTGCTTGAGGACGTTGCCTTCAGCTGATGCGCCGCGGCCCAGAAGCTTCACGCCGTCCTTGGTCTGGTGGATGCAGCGGGAGTTGGCCAGCTCGCGAATGGTGATGGGGCGGGTTGGGTCGATGCGGCCTTGGTCAATCCATTCCTGGATGCGGTCGAGGTTGGCGGGTGCGAGGTCGAGGGCGAAACTGCGTGCCAGATGTTAGGAAATCTCCATCATCTTTTCTCTGCGGTGACAAGACCGGGACATACACGTTGTTGAACCCACGCTCACCGTGAACCACAATCTCCGGCGTCTGACCACCATTGAACCCCGCGGGGACCTTCCCATGCTGCTTTTGACCCTTGTGACCACGTCCAGAGGTCTTACCCTTACCGGACGCAGGACCACGACCTCTTCTAATTCTCTTATTGTACGCTCCCGGGGTATCGGACAACGACGCTAAAATGTGTGCATTGCGGCTCTGTTGCTGGAATTGTGGTAGGAGGAATGACAGTGGCGATGCTGCCGACACAGCTGGTTTTGACAGAATCTGTTGCCACCTCAGCGGCAGCATCTGAAGACTGGGACGCATTGTATCTGTGGGAGACTGATGATTGTGATTTTCCACTTCTGCGT